AGATCAACGCTATAGCAATTTATCATCAAGATATTGTTGCACTGTATAGTAAGTTTTATTAGAAAGAATGTTTTTTAAGTTATTTATGAAAATACTTGTTTTATTTTCTTGCTTTATATGCTCCGGTAGTTTGTTGTATATTTTTATCGACATTGATTATGGGCTCGATCTATGCATTTCCAATTTTGAGAACGGTGTTACAAGATTATTTCCGTATCTTGTGGGATGGTGTCTTGGTTCGTCTCGCAGTTTAGTGTAAAATTGTGGGTACTTTTTTATAAATTTGCAAACTTCCAAAATGTAAATTGATGTTAGGGTTAAGATTTTGTATTTTCTAAAGAATGGTTCACAGCTCTCTGTTCTTGATATATTTGCTAGTATTCTTACGCAGTTTTTTTGTTTAATAAAGAGGTCATTTACAGTTGTACTATTGCCCCACAATATGATGCCGTATGATAACCATGCATAAGCGTATGCATAGTAAGCACTTAGGGCTGTTTGTAAATTTGTTGACTTCTTTATTTCTTTTAAGGCGTAAGTAAAACTAGATAGCTTTTTTGTGATTTTTTGTACATGCTGCTTCCAATTTATATTTGTATCGATATCTATTCCGAGTAAATTAAATGTATTGACGGTTTCTATTTGTATTTGGTTATACGAAAAATTAATATTTAGTGATGGTTTTTGAATTTAGACCCTAATTCTATAATTTTGGTTTTTGTGAAGTTAATTTCTAAATTGTGATCATTCATCCATGTTACAATTGTAGTTAGTGTATTATGAAGGGTTTGATTTAAGTGGTCACTATTTTTACAAGAGGTTAATATTGAGATGTCGTCAGCGAAAAGAGCACATGAATCGTTTATTAGGTACGTTTGGGAGGTCATTTATATAAGCCAGGAATAGTATGCACCCAATGACGCTTCCTTGTGGTATCGAATTGTTCATGTTTTGGGGCTCAGATCTGACTTGAGTTATTTCCCCTGTCTCATAGTTATAATGCTCGATTTCTACATACTGGATTCTGTTTTCTAAATAGGATGCGAACCATTTATGAATGTTACCTCGTATACCCATTCCGTAAAGTTTATCCAGTAAGATATCATACCGAACTTTATCGTATGCCTTTGACATGTCCAATAGGATACCGATACCATACTTTTTTTCATTTAGTGTATCCAGAATCTTTTGCATAAATTTGTAAGTCGCAAGTGTAGTTGAACGATTTTTCCGAAAACCATTCTGCGACTCATCAAATATATTGTACTTTTCACAGAAAGAGTATAGGCGGCTACACATTGCCTTCTCAAATACTTTCGAAGCCGCGGGCAATAATGCAATCGGTCTGTAATTACTCAGATCATACTTACTTCCTTTTTTGAGGATCGGTTTTATCAGGGATTGTTTAAGAAGATCCGGGAACACACCCTCGGCAAAAGACTGATTGACAAGCGTATAAAACGGAAACGTCAATTCGTCTGCACATACCCTTATAAGCGCGGATGGTATCTCGTCTATTCCATAGCTGTATTTATTTTTTAGATTACGTATAATTACGTTTATTTCGCGCGGTTCGACCGGGCTCAAAAAAATGTGGAACGCTTCACGATTTTGCGTGTCATCCTTGCGCAGGGGCCATGCTAATCTTCTCTGTATCGTTCCAATTTTAGTATATGTACTGCCGAAGCAAGTACGTTAATCAATTAAATTTCAATCAGATTAAAAAATCTATTCAATTGCAACTGATTTCGATTGAATTGATTTTAATTGCAATTAGATTAATTTTATTAGTTGTTCTAAGAAACAATTGAAACTAACAATTAAAACCGAAACTATCAAGTAAAAGTGTCATCACGAATATGGGTTAGGGGATGGGTTTGGGGTGTGTTAGGGGGTCGGTTAGGGGGCCGGTTGAGGGTCGGTTAGGGGTCAGTTGGGGGTCGGTTAGGAGGTTAGTTAAGGGGTCGGTTAGGGAGTCGGTTAGGGGTCGGCTGGGGGTGGTTCGGGGGTCGTTTAGGGGGTAGGTTAGGGGGCCGGTTGGGGGGTCGTTTAGGGTGTCGGTTGGGAGGTCAGATAGGGGGTAGGTTAGGGTGCGGTTAGGGGGTCGGTTAGGAGTTGGTTAGGGGGCCGTTTAGGGTGCCGGTTGGGGTCAGTTAGTGGGCTGGTTAGGGGATCGGTTAGTGGGTCGGTTAAGGGTTTGGTTAGGGAGTGGGTCAGAGGCGGATTAGGGGCCCTTTAGGGATGGACCCCCTAACTGACCCCTTAACCGACCCCCTACCTATCCCCAACCAGCCCCCTAACCGACCCCTATCCGTTCCCTAATCGACCCCCTAACCGAACCCCAACCGACCACTTAACCGGTCCCCAACCGACCCCCCAACCGGACCCTAACCGACCTCCTACCGACACCTAACCGATCCCCAAACCGACACCTTAACCGACCCCCTACCGACACCTAACCGACCTCCAACCGGACCCCCTAATCGAGCCCCTATCTGAGCCCCCAACCTTCGTGGTGGTATTATATGTGAAGAACTACATACAAAAAATATATGTAATTAGATTGAAGTCGTTGTAAATGACGAAGTAAATGCAAGTGATCAATCACTTTTTTGCAAAGAGCATCTATTATATGTATGTATGTGTATATGTGTGTGTGTGAGTGCGTGTGTGTGCGTGCGTGCGTGCGTGCGTGCGTGCGTGCTTGCCTGCGTGCGTGCGTGCCTGCGTGCGTGCGTGCGTGCGTCCGTTTGTGTAAAGCGGAACGTTCAAAAAATGAAGTATGAAATTATTTGATTTTTAATTCGGGACTTAATCACGTATAAACATATTTTATTTACCTCGACTTTTCGGACATATTGCAACGTCCATGGTCTCGCAAGGACTAAAGAGGCGGGTGTCAGCATCTTCCAGTTGTGCGAGTTTTTCTAACTACCCGCACTTTATCTTCATTACTTATTTGTGCACTAGGGTTCTCACTACACCGACACACAACACTCACGACATCTTAAATACTCGTATTCAATGCAGTAGAAGCACATTTGCAGGTGGCAACAGTGCATGGTATTGTCAAAGACGTCAAAGTCATCTTTTCGCGGTTATAACTTAGAGTAGCAGGGTTCTAGGGTTATAGCCGCCATTTTGCGGTTGGTTTAAATTGCACATTTGCATCCTTTATAGGCCCAGTAGATAGGGATAACGTATCGCGTGAGCGAATAATTTGTGTTGTGAACATGTTATGAATGGCATTTACACGTATATACAGTATTCGACATGTATAGGAATATTAATAATAATTATACGTACTTCGTGCTCTGAAGTATGGTGGTATTGGTTTAACAGTTTTTTTCTGGTAAAACTGAATATTTAAAACTTCTTTTTCAAGATATGTATTGTGGAAGGAAATCCTTTGAAGGAAATTGTTGGTTTCCACATGTCGCGATAAGTATACTAATAAAGTATTTTGTAATTTGTATTTGTATTTTGTATTTTAAATACACCCCATGAAAGTATTTTGTATTTTGTATTTCAAATACACCTCAAGAAAGTATTTGGTATTTTGTATTTTAAATACATTTAAGGAAGTATTTTGTAATTTGTATTTCAATTAAGATGTAGCATGTATTTTGCCCAGCCCTGCCTATAGGTAGCAATGAGGGACACCCTTACTTCCTTAGGAGGTAGACATGTAATTTTGTTTATGACGCCTTATTTGACCGTTAGGTTACGATTACAAGGATCAAACACGAAAAAAAATTCATTCGACTGACAAGACCTGTGCCTGTGCCAAACCAGGGCTACCACTCTAGCAACGAGCGACAGGTCGAGACAGCCAGACCTTCTGAACAACTCGTATAGAGATATCGTGCTTTACGTCGCTCTCACGCATGCCACGCCCATCTATCCATATTTATGGTCGCGCCCTGTCGTGCTAGCCCTACAGACGTTTGTTACAGATTTTTTGTGTTGGGTTTTTTCAGCTTCTTTGTATTTGGTCTTAACAATTATAACAAACTAGTGGAGTAATTTCACAAAAGAATTAGTAATCATGATATTTAAATTTTTCTCCACCCCCAAACCCACCAGTTTGTTAAATTTACTTTACTTTCATAGATTTCTCATAGATGGCGCTACGGCTAAAAAGTGTTGAAAAACCAACTACAAAGACACGACAACAAGCACATAGAAAAATTCGTGAGGTCCGCTGGTTCCTTTCGTGGCTTAGTTGGTACAGCGTCTGGCACAGTATGCTAGAAGACGTCCCTGTTCGCATCCGGCCGAATCGAAAGAATTTTTTCTGAGTGTTCGATCTTTGGATAATCATATCGTCATGATATTCAACATATATTATTACAAAGTAGTGCTATAAAATTCTTACCTATTTTAATAAAGAAGCAAATGTTACTTACAAGCATTATAAATTATCTTATACGTACTGGTTTAACAAGTACAAACAATGTCATTCCAAAGTCAATTTTTATATGTACTTTATCCTTATTTATGATAGTCTTTACACCTAGATTGTAAACAAAATAATTTCCAGATATACAGATTTTTTATTATTTTCTTGTACGTTTGCCAAAACGAGAAGGAGGAGAGTGATTCTGATGCCACCTGGTGTCACTTGTGTCATAATTGTAAGGGACATGGATTATTTAAAGCTTAACGCACACGCACAGCCAGCTTATCCTACGATCTGATTTTAAAGATTTTTTTTCTTCAATGAATGCTATTTACAACCTTTTCCGATGAATGATTTTGACCCTTGGTTGGGTGTCATTATTATTTTCAAGTGTTATTATTCCAAATTGTAGACAAAGGTGTGTTTTTCCTTGTCGAAAATTACTATTATGCCATGCAAAATGTGTCTCCCCACCATCATGAAATCTCGTGACTATGGTGATTTTCCTACTTAATTAATCGCCATAGATAAATCTCTACTATCTTATCAATATACATACATTGAAGCGGTACAATTAACTTACGCTTTTTTGTCGTAGACGTGAGCCGCTGCGCGCGTGACCTCTCCAGGAGTACCAGGTGTCCAGGAGATTTGAGGAAGTTCCAGTGACGTCATGATGGGAGGTCGCGAAGTGTTACTTATAGCCCTTTTGGGTCTAGTTGTTGTACAGGGCCAGGAAAAACGTGAGTATTCGTTCCACAATTTTATTTATTACTGAATTATAAATTTAAGAGAATCAGAATAATTTATTCTAAGCGCTAGAAATATTAAGTTATTTAAATACACACGTCAAAATTGTTTAGGGATCAAGGTATATTTTTAAATATTTGATTACCATATTAAAATGAAATAAAAATATCTATTTCAATTGATTAAAATATTTAATTATAATTATTTGAATTAATAAAAAAACCATTGGTGAAAAAAAAAAAAAACTAAACAACAGAATTTTCAGTAATTGACAAAAACGTGATCCTCTAACACTTTTGATGTGTGTAAATTATAGATTGACAAGGAATTTTTTTTCTACTTTACAAGCGAAAGAAAAGATTTTTTGTTCGTGTTATCGTAATCAATTTGCTTGTATTGCAAATATAATTTTGGATGATTTTCGGTTTAGTTTTCTCTACCTAATTTTGGTGGCACTTTTTATTATAAAAGTATTCAAGTATATTTATTATATAGAAATATTAAATAATATTTCAGGATACCACACTCAAATATTAAATTCATGATAACATTTTCGAATATTCAAATATAAATTTTGCCACCGAAATTAGATAGAGAAAGCTAACCTGGACATAACCATTTTTATATGAATTTGAACAAACTCTTTCACATAAAAAGTTAGAGCATTATACTGTTATTCCATTTTAGAAGTAGCACGAAGGTTGAAACCAAATAATGATACTCATGTATATAATTTGAACACTGCAAACAAAATCCTGTTATTCACAGTAAAATGAACCGTATTATTAAGTTATGTAACTTGAGAATCACGTGCATTATTGAAGCCATATTTGAAGCCTTAAGCAGCATGCGTACTTTACTAGAATCGGAAATGCAAGATACTGTTACATGAAGTGTATATTACAAAATATGTTTACTTAAATGACGTCATTGTTTCGTCATATTGTGTAAACTCTACTGCTCTGCTGTAAGGCAGATTCTCATGAGAAGAATGAGTAAGAATCTCTGGTTGCACTTTCTAAATTAACATCAAAACAAACAAATATCATTGATCGAAACTACCTGCAATATTTTTCTTATTATACTAACATTTATTTAAATATTTATATAAAAATTTCTCCCGGCCCGGGCATTGAATTCGAGACCCTGCGTGGCAGTCTAGCATGGTGACCGTTCGGCCACTGAGACAGTTAGACTATTGTCTTGGTGTATATCATTTTTGCATAATGTGTAAACAAAATAATGTCAATTGTATAATTTACTATGCGACTAGAAGTTTTGCTGGTACTTTTCTTTATTTATAATAATCTAATACCAGGACGAAAAAGTCGTTAATAACAGTTGCAGTGCCACTCAGAGCAGCTTTAAATCGCAAAAATCTGAGGGGCACTACCACTGCGCCCGTCACCCTGAGACTTAAGCCTGTAATTTGCCTGCCTGTAGCCACGCAGAGATCCCGGGTTCGATTTCCAACTGGCAGGGATAAATATTTATATGGCCTACATTCATTTCTCAACTGACTTTGGGTATAATTTGTGATTATCTATGTGTGTGTCTATGGCGTTCGTGATACAGGGTGTCCCTAGTGTCGAGGTATTAGTGTGTGCGTTATTATTATAATTAATGTAAGTGAAGCAAGAGAGGTTTGTCAGGATCATGCTAAGTGGGAAACGATAGTCTCTGCCTGCCCCAAATGGGAAGCTAAGGGCGTGAGTATATAAATAAAAAAAAAATGTTTAGACACAAGTATACAATTTAGTAGCAGTAGAGCTCGTTATCAAAGAGTTTGTCCAGGGTAGTACTGACACTTTCCCTATTTCAATAATGTCAGCATTACTGTGTTCCGGTTTTGAAGGGTAAGGGTGCTGGTGAAATTACAGGCGCATGGGACTTCTCAACTTATGTCTCAGGGTGACGGGCGCAGTGGCAGTGCCTGAGTACTAACTGTAACTGTTATGGATAGGCGTTAAATGAAGTTATAAAAAAAAATACTTCTACTATTCAACTGATTTTTACGATTGTTTAAGTACCTTCTAAGACCGTCTTGAATGTTTAAAACGTTTAAACTACCAAGAACGTCAGCCAAGGGCATTGAACAAACAGTACAACTTTATCAGATAACATTCACAGATCTAATCAACAAATTACATATTTAAATAAGATATCATCAGTCAAGAAATAACACTCGTCCATCAGTCATCATTATATTTACCCATCATCATAAAGAAAAAAAAAGAAAAAGAACTGGGTTACATTGTTTTCCCACGAATTACTCGAGAGTAGTTTATTGACTTCCCATTTCCGATCTTCCATTGTTTTTTACCTTCAATCACTTTGTTAATAGAGCACCGTGTATGAGATTTCTCTGTTGTTGTTGTTATTAATATTTTCTACTAGATTCTTACAGCCTACGCCTTCTGATCCTATATTGTGACCTTAAAGGGTATTATAATTAATTTACTATCAAATACCATTGAAATTTCCGATAATTTTGTTTTTTTATGATACCAAGATTTGTGGGCACTGCCACTGCGCCCTGAGACACAAGTTGACAAGTTCCAAGCGCTTCACCGGTTAAACCGGAACGCAGTAATGTTAACTTCATTACTTGGTGGCAGAAATGGGCATGGTGGCAGTATTTCCCTGGACCAACTCTTTCACAGGGAGCTCCATTAGTATTAGAAATCGGAGAATATTTATACAGGACAGTAAAACACAATTAAAACAATTAAGTCTACTCGATGTAGAGGAGCCTTAGCCTTTGTTATATTTTCAATTCCTTACGTCGTTGTTTATTTTAAAAATAAAATTAATTATAAATTTGGATCACAGGAATTATGCATTAAATTATTAAGTTATGGTTAATTAATATAGTATAAATATAACATAAATATTAGACAACACAAAGTAAATAACTAAAGCACTCGTCTTATGGAAAATGGAAATAACGACAGCACCATAAACACTCAGACCCGAGACAATATAGAATCGTTAGCATTTCACTATATAATTTTGCATCATAATAATATGCAATATGCAAAATTCATCTTTGAGCCGTTGACTTTAAAGTGTTTTTAAAAGTGAAAACTGTATACTATACAAGGCTATTATATATTATATAATAGCCACATTAGGTGACTTTAGGGCATCTAATTGCGATTAATTACCCTTCACACTGTATTACTTCAAGCCATAAATAGAATTATGCCTGAATTGCGTCACGTTGTATTGCCCAACAGCTTAACGTATAAAAATGCAGATTACCGAGTCCGTAATCTAATACAAGGTCCCTGAATTGTTATCTTCATGGAATAGCAATAATAAGTCCATTGGGAGATCGCTTGCCTTGTAAACGTGAGGTTAAAGACTTTTCACATCACACTTGCTCGTAAACAGTGTCATGATATAGGCAAAGTCGACCGTAATGTCCTAAATTATGCCCACGGGCTTTTTCATTACATTAGCGCCTTATGTATTTTTACGTCAAGATTAAGCAAAAAGTTTTTATATTCGAAAATCTGAACGTATACCGCATAAACTTGAAGTATAATAATCTCAGTACAGAGTACTAAAAAACTGACCTCAAAAGCACGTGGAATTACGTCTATTTGCTAAGTTTTATTGAAATATCCCCTAGTTCGCCACTATGCAGAACTGACTGGAGGTAATAAAAATCGGTTCTCACTACTCAAAGTATATTGAGAGAAAAACGCCTTGAATTGGAGAAATAGCAAAATCAACCATTAAAATAATTGCTCCTAAATTAAAATTAGGCGCTATTTATAAAAATGAATCTTCATGCGTGAACAGCCACCCTTAGAGGTGGATGATTTTCTTCAAAATGAAATGGGACCACTATGGAAGTACCCCCTTTCCAACAAAAAAGAATCATGAAAATCGGTTCACAAATACCGGAGTTATCACGTAACATACCTACATACAAAAACAAAAAGAACATACAGTCGAATTGAGAACCTCCTCCTTTTTTGAAGTCGGTTAAAAATACTAAACATTTGCAATTTAACTATTTCTTATATTTTAATCGGTTAAAAAACGACAATCCCGCCATTTGCAAAATCCGTAAATGTTGTGTTGTGAACATATTTATTTGTACAACAAATTAATTATATTTATATCTATTTCCTCGCAAATGTTATGAAAATCACTGTATGTAGCACGGGCGGTAAAAATTACAAACCTCGAGTCATTAAAACCCTCTGCCTCCGGCTTCGGGTGTCTAACGAACTCTCGTTGGTAATTTCTTATTTATCCTTCGTAAATACATAATGTACTATTCGAACGCCACTAGAATTAGTAAAACTAGAGCTTCGGAAAGAGATCGTACAGAGAAGTATGTAGTAATGTGAGCATTACTACGTTTCAAAGGGAACTTATCAATTTTATGACTCAGGGTGACAGATGCTATGTCAGTGTCAGGTCATGACGGTTTCAGATTCGCTCTGGGCCTTTTGGAGGGAAAAGTGTCGTTTTTATTTTGACTTTCAATTATTTTGTGAAATCTAGCTTAAAGTGGAATAGGATAGTGCTATTGTGCCTTAATCGAAGATTAAAACGCGAAATTATACGAATCTCGAACTAAAATACCCGTATCGGCCCGTTCTAAGGAATCCCGAGTTAATCCAAGCACGCCGCATCAAATTACCTATCCTCTTTGTGGCGGCCATATTTACAGAAACATAATTAAACGAAGACATGGCTCAAAGGACTTGTATCCAAGCCAAAATTATTAATAAAAAAAAAGACGGTTTCAAGCTGAGTTATATTCTAAGTAGGCTTGTCGCTTACCACTAGACGTACGACTTGTTTGTCCTGTCATTTGGTATCATAAAAAAAATCGCGTAACACCACAACCCAACAAATATTAGTTACCTCGCCTTGCCGCTAGATGGCGTTGGGATCAAAATACAACGTGCTATCGAAGTGTTCACTAAATTGCCATATAAATTGTAAAAGGAAACGACCTTTCATCCGG